GATCAACTAATCTTTATCCCATAAAGACGATCACATAAATATTGATCTAACCGGATTACTAATGTCCAAATTAATAATCCTACGATCAAGAACAAATTTAGATTAAATTATAAGAAACTTTTCTCTCATTATTATGATCTCCATCACAATGTCAAGTCTCAAAATTTAATCAAGGACCTTATCAAATTAATCAAGCAATTAATAACAATGATAAAAGAATATCAAATGCCATATATATTTTATAAAAATATGTTCAAAACATCAAATATGATATTGGATCTAGGGCATATCTACTATATCCCTAACACAACATTCTCTATAGAACACATGAAATTTTCGAAAATGAGTTACAGAAAAGGAAAAATATAAAATAATTCAACATACAGTCTAACAAAAGATATAAAGCTTTATGCTCATTTCATACTGTGCTGGATCAAAAGAATTTCTCGATCGAATAAGCTACTAACAAATAAATTGGATCATAGAAAGCCTAAACCATCTTTTTTCTGAATTCATATTTTTTATGTTGTAGAAGACAGTACACCAAAATGAGAATGTTTTACTAATAATATGTCGATTCTCAGTACCTGGAGAAGAACCCTTGATTTCTAATCGAATATTTTGTGTTATAATTTAGGGTTTATATCTAACATCGATTAATTTATAACACGAAAAAGGTTAAATACATCAAAGCTAAGCGCGACAATATAAGTTTTTACCATTGCGATCCGAGAAGTGTTTAGTCCGCTTTTGATTTCGTATACATATTCTGTTTGTTCTTGCCAGTTTCTTCTGATCTTCCATGTCCAATTAGCCTTGAAAATGGATTTCTGCTGAGAATTGAGAAAGTTTTAAGAAGAGAGAGAGAGAGAGCGCGAAGAAGAATTGGGAATTTTTATGACGGAGACAGCGCGAAGATGGTTTGGGACAAATCGGGAATTATTTTAGAGGCATATGTGCTAATCTGTTTTAATTTTTTATTATTTCTGTATTTTCCAATCCTTTTAATTTAGAGAAAGATAGATATATCCCAGTGGTCTTAAAGTTTAAGCTACTACTCCTAACGTTTTTCTTTTTCTATTTTTGTCATTACATTCAACCAACCTTTATAAGCCAATATCTAGTTAAATGTACTTTTACTATTTTTTGTTATTGAACAAAAATGGAAAAAACATGAAGCCACATTAAAGCTATTTTAGTTCTGTTTCAAACGCAGAAAATAATTGCACTCACAGAACGAAGCCAGGATTTTTAGTTTATTTGTTCTTATTGGATCTATGTTATTTATATGATTATGAAAAGATACTTTGTACATATTAAATAAATAGTGAACACAAATACATAGTTTGATCGGTTCCCTGCACACACATACTTAGATTTTTATGAGAAATAGCATAAGCAAAATCATACAAAAGTAATTACTATATAGCAGATGCAGAGTGTACGGCTCTCTAAGAGCCTTAGTATTTTTTTTTTGTTACTTTAAAGTGATTCCTACAGGTTTATAGAATTGATTGTATGTAGCGATTGGCTTCTTCTTGTTCTTGATTTTCTTTGGCATAATTATATTTTTCATTGGTAAACCTAGTAAAATGTACCTTGAGATTCTAGTGAAGCTTCTAAGTGTTATAAGTAATATTTTGATTTGTGAATAGTTTCTAAGTGTTCAGCTGGTATATTCTATACATTGTGCTAGTGCATATTAATAATCTAATTGATGGATGGTTAAATTGGTATTTCAATATATTTTGCTATCTAATGCAATTCTTCTGTAACGCACATCATTCCTGATTTCCAACTAATTTAGACTCCTTACTTTACTGCGGTTTTTGTTTACTAACAACCCAGACTACATCCTCTGTTGCTCATTTATCGTCCGACATTTAGTTGAAGCTTACTGCAAATGTTAGGATTTTTTCGTATTATCATATTTACTCTTAAACGACATAATTAAAAAAACTTTGCATTCATCTAATTGACTGATGCAAAGATAATTATTGCTGATGTTTACTGTAGAATATTTGTACAAATAATGAGAAGCACTTATATAAGGGTGCCTGAATGGAACTATGCATGGTGCTGCCGGAGGAGCTTGAGAAAGTCTTTCAGATTTTACCCCCATCCAAACTACATGGAGTATGTACAGGGTTTTTTGAGATTTTCATCCGATTCAAATAATGTACATCATAATGGGACTTCAATATCTCATACATAAAGGTTACACTTTAGGAACCTTTTTCCATTTGACTATATTGGTGATGTCCCATTTTATTGGACTCTAATATCTGCTTGAATGAAATGGTTCCTTTACCTTGAGGTTGCATGTGATATTTGGTTCTGAGGTACAGGATACAATTACAGAAATATTGGTAAAGCTTGTTTCTTGCTCTAACATCATGAGTCTGTTGTTAGCATTTAGGCCACTGTCCCAGAATATCCCCTTAGTTCGGCTACATTTCATCTCAATCATACTCCGCAGAAGTTTCACTTAGTCGTTTTATTCTGCATTCCAGTGATTTTGTGAAATATATTTACCTTGAGTTAGAGATGTATCAAAAGTAACATCTGATGCAATATGATTCACATATGACAGTATTTGATCTTTTATCTCACAGTAGTACTTATGTGATAATTGCTCCAAATTTGAAGGAAATGTTCATTGGAGCAGTCTGCTACCTAATCCCTTCTTTGGAAGTTAAAGACTTCATTCCTTTGATGAAAAGATCTTCGTGATGAGAACTAAAGATGGTGCAGCAGACGCAATATTTCTCAGCCGCAGACAAATACAAGTAGATACAGAAACCTTAACTACACAAAGACACTTACTCAGCACTTGATTCATTCACTTAACTCACATATAACATTCAAAAGTTACTTCTGACATAAGTGAAGTTCATATCACAAAGAGTTAACTAATTTCAGATATTAAATCATAATCCTAAATGGTAGAAACCAAATTAAAATACAAACCAGACTACTTCAAACTGTACCAAAGTACTTGCTAATGAAATTGTACGAATAATGTCATTTAAAAGGAAGTAAATGTTTCAATTCACGGATTTTTCTCCTGTTTGATCACTTTTTTAAGCTTGTTACTTGAAAATTGTGCAAGATCATCACCAACATCTACTACAGATGACACATCCTCTTCTCTACTTCTTTTGGCAGGAGTCTTTGCATGAGAAGTCATCTCATTTTTAGCCATTGAATCCTACAAAAGAAAAATTAATTATTAAAAACCATATTGTAGATAAGAAGCTATATAGGCAAAGTTTGAATTAGTCACCTTGAAAGTTGTGTCTGCATTAGTGTATTGTTCACACTCAAAATCAGGGTCCTATTAAGAAAATAGTAACATAATTAATTAAAACTTGATAATCTCTTATGTAAAATCAGAAGGAAAATTAGTGTATTATGAAGTATTTGAGTAACGATCACATACAGTGAATGTATCATCTTGTGCAGGTTGACTATATTGTTGTATAAGGTTATCGTCCTCGCTGATTTTAACAACATTATAAACTTCCGCATGCACTTTAATGATGGAGCTCTTGACAGTCACTTTAAACAGGACTTTTTTGTCAAGAATATCATACAACTCCACTGGATAAGAACACTCATCAGCAACAGCAGAAGTCTAAGACCGAATTAGTGTTAGAAATGGTAAAACACAAAGAATTAAAATAAAAAGTATAACTACTAAACCATCCCTTAAATCGTTATCCTACTTTTCATTCTGGTAGGAATGGAATCAAAAAAAATATTAGGGCTCTTCCTCTTGAGTGATATAACAAATGGTTAGTTCCAATTAATTTAAGGGTGTACTGGAGGTTCGAGTTAATTTTAATTATAATTTTGCAAATATACCATATTTACCTTTCTTACCTTCATTGAAAAAATATAGTAAAAATTAATACGAAAAAAATATACCTCAATTGAAATTTCATTTAACTCATTAGCAGACTTCCCAATGAGACTTGTTGCTTCACGATCCCAAAGCAACAAAGATATAAAGCCAGTGTGATCCATTACTTGTACTCGAAACTTGTACCTGAAAGACATGTTTAGAATAAGAAATTGAAACTTTAGTTTTATTTAATATTTTATAGTAAAATTGGTCCTTATTTTTGTAACTTGCAACTTTAGTTGTATTTCACAGTAAATAGTGAAGCTTATCAAACCTATGAGTGACAGAACTATCAAGGCGATCACATTTCTTGCAGTGAAATTTACTTCCAATTTTGTCAACCTTCTTCGAGCATTTCTTGCACCCCAAATATGACCATTCTTTCTCAAGTAGAAGATTCACTACAGTCGCAACAATCCAAATATGTCCTTCCTGAAAAGAAGTCAAGTTATAGCAATGTATCTTGCAAATTTGATTGTTGGAATCTATATATAAATGCCAAGAGCATAAGCTGTGAAAATTCCATTTATTTCCAAAACCAAAAAAGATAAACAACTAAGCATAGATATTAAATTAGTTCCATTAAATGATACCTTCAATAGTTCAATTTGTAAGCATTCGAATGCATAAGAGAATATCACATCAACAAAAGCATTTAGGATTTCAGTTGTACAATGTTCCTCCTACTGTAATCATTCGAGAAACAGAGAGGAAAGACATTGCAACCACACTACTACTAACCCTCCTTTCCACTGCACCAAGCTGATGCTTGGGCTCTAAGTCTTAAGGGGAAGATTTCAGATTTTAATACCCAACAAATAGAACCAATCCACACGGAAAATAATGCTACATTTCCACATACACATAAAATTGCTAATTTGATTCCAACTGAACCATTCAATAGTAAAGAAAGTGTGAGGCCAAGACATATGTCTATAACAAAGTTTTCCTACCAACTTATGTAACAGGGATTCCAAAAAACATATATGTGCACATTTAGGAAAACAAATAGTATTTATAGACCTAACAGTGTTATTGTCGCGACCCAAATCCCGGTCGTGATGGCGCCCAGCACACTACTAGGCAAGCCCGACCATTATTCAACACTTAACTCAATTTATCAAAAATAGTGGAAAGAAATATCAATTAAGCAAGATTAAAGTACTGAAGATTTTAACAAAATACACAATATAATCTCACTAGGACCCGGTGTCACGAATCTGAGCCTCTAGAATACAGAATATCATCCTAATACACGGTATATCCAAAGTCCGATAATACGGAAATAAAGAGATAGGATAGGAGGGAGAAGATCAATGGCTACGAATGCCGTGCAGCTACCTCGATACTCCCAGAGGCTGGATCTGCTGATCAACTGGATCTACTAAGCCTGAGACTGCCCTGGATCTGCACACAAGGTGCAG